CGGTGCGGGCGGCGCGGGGAGGAGCCGTTTCAGCCCCTGGCGCGCACGGGGGTCCCGGTCCCAGGCCTGGTTAGGAGGGAAAGGCAGAAAAATGCATGTTCAGAAAATAACCTGGGGAAACGCCGTGAAGTCTTCATTTTTGAAAATTATATTACAAAATACATCTGAATCGGAGGTTTTCTAGCTGAAGAAGCGCATTGAACTATTTCCAGGGGGTTCACGGGCCAAAGGCATTCCGTCCATGAGGTGCTGAAGATCCACTTCAACTAGCTTCGTAACTTTTATTGTAGGAGTGACTTTTTTATTAAGGAAAAATATTTATCAGCAATGAAGAAGCTCCCCCTTCCCTTTCCCCACCCAGGCGACTGACCCAAAGGCAGACACTCACCACTGGGGCTGGAAGGAACCACCAGTGTGGGATGTGACTTATCCCACATGTGCTGTTAATGTGCATAGATGGGGGGCGGTGACAGTGACTTACAGTCAGGAAGAGGAAGATTCTGGAAGTTCGTGCCTCCCCAGGAGAGGTGGGAGATGCCACCTTCTATGGCTCAGGTTTACTTGCTACTTGAACGTTTTTTTCTCAATTGAACTTGTATTCATGAGATGCTTTTATTATAATAATAATTTTAAAAAAAGAAAAAAAAGAAAGAAAATTGGTCGGGTGTGGTGGCCTGTAGTCCCAGCACTTTGATAAGCCAAGGCGGGTGGATCACCTGAGGTCAGGAGTTCCAGACCAGCCTGGCCAACATGGCGAAACCCCGTCTCTACTAAAAATACAAAAATTAGCCAGGCATGGTGGCGGATTGCCTGTAATCCCAGCTACTCGGAAGGCTGAGGCAGGAGAATCACTTGAACCTGGGAGGCAGAGGTTGCAGTGAGCTGAGATTGTGCCACTGCACTACAGTCTGGGCGACAAAGCGAGACTCCATCTCAAAAACAAACAAACAAACCGAGAAAATGGAAGAAAAAGAAAACAAAGTAGCTTATTTGGGATTATTACCTCTGTTGGGAAGGTAGGCTAGGGAGCGCCTCTCAGGCTGGCCGAGATGCTGGCAGGCGCTGAGCACCTGCCCACAGCAGCACCCGGCCCTGCAGCCCTCGGAGGGAGAGGGCAGCTCAGGTGCCTGGAATGTGTGGCATCTGCCAGCCTGTGAGACTTTCCAAGGCCACCCGGCCACCAGGCTTTGTCACACCCGGGGGGCAGCTGCCTCTTTGGACAGGAAGAGGGGTGTCCACAAGAGGGGTCTTTGCAGTTCCTGATCCAGATGCTCCCAGGGCAGAGTGGGAGGCCTGCGCCTGGGGCCCCCGAGGGAGCGGATGTTCTTGTGGCCGCCTGGGGTGGCCCCTCTCATCTTCTGGCAAGATGGCCCCGTAGCCAGGGCAAGCACAGGGGGAGAAAGCGGTCCCTCTGTCAGGCCCTTGGGGGTCACCCTCCTGGTCTCTGCTTCAGGGCTGCAAGCATTGCAGCTGTTGTGGGTACAAGCTGCTGCTCCTGGGCCTGGCTATCCCGTCTCTGAGGGGCTGCCAGGGGCTGCTGGAGGCTGACGCCCCTTCTCAGAGAGCATGGGGCTAGTGGGGGTCATCTCAGGTGTGCCAGGTCACCCAAGGCACAGCCCAAGCTGACCCTGGGCTGGAGTCCTCTCACCTTGCCATGGCCATGCCCAGGCCCCAGCATCTGGCATCTGCATGTGACACTCCTGTGTGCTCCCCACACAGCCTGTCCTCGTGACTGAAGGACGCATGCAGGGTTAATAAAAGGATACATGCAGGTTAATGCAGGATGATAAGCGTGTCCTTATCATCCTTTGCAGACTGTGGCGTGGCTGTTTTGTGACTGTTTCTGTTCCTTTAGGGGTGTAGGGAAGCTGTGAAATGACAAGGCTGGCGTTGTCCTGGCCTGGAGCTGGCTCAGGTGTCTGCGCTACTGGTGGCCTCAGCAGGCAGGTGGGGAGCTGGAACCTTTAGCTACAGTGGCCGGCCATGGCCCTGCTGCTCAGGCCCTCTCTGCCGCCCACCCCTGGGTCTGAGCCCAAGAAGCAGCCTAGAGGAATTCCTCCTGTCCTTCTCTGCACAACTTTGCAGATGTGGAAGAGGCTGTGTGGTCGGATGCAGTGCAGACTCTGGCCTCCAAGCCCACCCGCTCCACAGCCTCTCCCCATGTGGCTGCGGAGCCCTGCATGCCTCCCCTTCCCTGCAGCCCTGCTGGGCTTCCTCATGTCCACACTCGCTCATCCTGGACAGGAGGCAGCTAGGCCTCCAGACAGCCCCATAGCAGGTGAGGGCCTGAGGCTGGCTCCCGGGGCACCATGTTCATGGCCCTGGACAGCGGGCAACCTGGGGGTGAAGGAGTGGAAATGAGGATGGGAGGATGACACGCGGTCCCTGGGGAAGAGGTGTGTGCGGGACCGCTCATCCCTGGCCGGAGGCTCTGCCTTACTGGGGTGATGCAGCCTCAGCTGCTGTCAACTGCTGCCTAAAGGTTAATGTCAACTCCCTCCCTAAATAGTTTCCGCGAAAGCACTTTTAAACTGTGATACACTTTCCACACCGCTGTGTGTTCATCTCCGAATGACTTTTATGAAAGAGCGGGGACTCGAAGCCACTGGCTTCTCCTCAGGAGTCTGTGGACATATTTGGACTCTCTGTGTCCGAATCCCGGGGATCCGTGGCCCTGCATGCCCCAGATCCCCATCCATGGTTCACACGCGCTCCAGACAGGAACCGCTGCACACATGGGCCTCTGCACACGCCACGCCAGCTCCCCGAACCTGCTGTGATCCCTGCCCAGCTTCCTCCTCCTCCTCCTCCTCCTCCTCCTCACCTCTCCTTCCGTGTTCTGATTCTCAAACTCTGGGAGAACTGGCGTCTTCTGTCCTAAGATAACTTGATACGCAGCTTCAAGCTCGGTGTCGAGAAAATGGGTCTCCAGTTTCAGAGATTTTTACGTTGTTTATGACATCTGCTGTGGAGACACATGCAGCCAGATTCCGGGCGGTGTCACAGCTCGCAGACAGAAAGGGGTGTGCAGGCCGGGCCCGCTGAAGGTCCTGGGTGCTGGTGGCAGTCGTGACCGCAGGCATGTCTCTGGAGTTCCCACACCACATTTCCTGTCACCACTGTACTCAGAATCTTGTGTTTTCTTCCCGCCTGGACTGTCTTTGGAAACCTGTCTGTGGGCGGGTCTTGCTGTCCGTGGCCACGCTGCCAGGAACCCAGAGCTGGGACATTCTACTGGGTCACCGGGCAGTGTGGCTTGGAGGTGTTCCCTGGAGGCCAGCCCGATGCCTGCCTTTCTAGGGGAGCAGCTCCCACCAGGGAGGCTGAGCCTCAGGAGTGCTGGAAGCCTCCATGGTGCCATGAGGTCATGGCTGCTGAGTCTGCCGGCTGCTTCTCCAGGAGGCAACCATGGTCTGTCCCCTGCTAACCGACTGCCTCTTCGGGAAACCAGGTGGCAGAGGGACTTTGATGGGGAGTTAGATCGAGGACCTGGCGCTGCCCTGAGAGTCTCTGGGCTTGGCTCCTCCCCTGGGAAGAATTCCTGCAAGTGTGCATTTCACAGAGAGAGGGGAAGGGAGGCGGATGGAGCACAGGAAGTAGAAACACCACGGAATTGTCAGCCACATTTAAAATGGCGACGCCTCCCTGCCTGGATCATCAGCCACATTACAAATGGTGACGCCTCGCAGCCTGGATCAGCAGCCACATTACAAATGGTGACGCCTCGCTGCCTGGATCATCAGTCATGTTAAAAATGATGACGCCTCGCTGCCTGGGTTGGCAAGCCCTGGCCTCAGATCTGCACCTCTCTGGGCACCATGCCCCTCCTGAACCTTCCTCTCCTGCTGCAGAAGCAGCAAAATGCCGAGTGGAAAGACTTTCCATGGCCTTAGAGAAACGACAGAACATTGACCGCTGCGCTGGCGTGGGCGTGTTAGAAGCCCCAGGTGGTGGCCGGTGGGAAGTGGGATGAGCGAGGGAGTGAATGGCAGCCCCACTGTCCCTGGGGAGCGGTGACTTTCCTGGGCTTGCTCTCCATGCAGATGGGGTGATGGGACAGACTCGTGGGACGAGCTTTGAAACCTCACTCCACGGGCCCCCATCTCACCTGGCCCCCCTAAACCAGGATGGCTTCTCCCAGGAAGCCCTCTGCTCACTTCAGATTGATTGATTTAACCCCAGTCTCATTTCAGTAGATCAGGAGGAACGCGGTTGCCCTGCCATCCTGAGGCAGCGCCTCCCGGTCCCACAGCCCTGCCCAGCCGATGGCTCCTTTCCTCCTTCCCAGCCGGGCCATCATGACTCTGGGAGAGCACAGGGAGAGAGCCAGGCAGTGAACCCCACGCTCAAGTTGCCCTGGCTATGGTGCGGGGGGCGTGGAGGGCCTGCTGGAGACACCACTGCTGGTGCCAGTGGCTGGGCGTCCAGTACCTGTGCAGTGGGTGAGCTGCCAGTGATGTTTCTAGAGGGAGCAGGGAGCTGCATCAGCCCTGCCGACCCCCCACTGCCTGGAGAGCTCACCTCGGCCCCTTTGGCAGCTGTGTCAGCCCTGCTGACCCCCCAACATGTGGAAAGCACACCTTGGTCCCCTTGGTGGCTGCGACCTGGTCCCTGCCCAAAAAGCCTCAGCTCACTCCAACCTCAAAGCCTGTTATGGGTTGTGGAGGAGGGTGGAGGGCCAGGCTAGGAACGGAAATGTGTGAGAGACTTTTCAGGGGCTAGTGGATTTTAAAAATGCATGGTGACGTCGTGGAGGTGCATGTGGGAAAATAACGGTGGATGTGGAGGGAAAACGGGACGCGGGGAGGAGGCGGGGAGGACTGACTGGACTTGACAGCTGGCGGTCAGATGCGATGGGGACTGAATTTTTAAAATGAGAAATAATGTACGAACATTTGTGGAGTGATATTGAAGAAAACAAATCACTTTATGAATAAAAATAATGCTTTGTTCAGTGGCATATTTCCTGCCCAGGCTGTTTGCTGAAATTAAACATCCGCTGTCACCGCAAGTCTTTAGAAACCTTTGTTCTCTTGGCTTTGTGAGCAGACGTCCCTGTGCTGCTGGGGCTTCTCCTCCCACGTCTGGGGACAGTGGGGAGGGTGCTGGGCACCGTGGTGAGAGCAGAACCCTGAAGCCAGAGGTCACTGTGGATCCCGGCTCCGCTGCATCCAAGATCCAAGTGGGATCTTGGGTTTCATCTGGATCTTCCCAGATGGGGTGTAAGGGCCTTCGGGCATCATGAGCTGGGCACTGGCTGGTGTCTGATGGGGTGGAAGAGCCTGCAGTGTCCTGAGCCGGGCGCTGGCGGGTGTCTGGTGGGGTGGAGGAGACTGTGGGCAGCGCGAGCCTGGCGCTGGCGGGTGTCTGGTGGGGTGGAGGAGACTGTGGGCAG